GCTTCTAGTACTTAGTTTTTTTATGCCCCCGTAAACGAAGTTTTAGTGGTATATAATTATTGTCGTATCCGTCCGTCTGTCTGTCTCTCTGTCTATTTGTTTGTCTGTTTGTCCGCAAAAACTTTAATCTTGTTTATAACTTTTAATCTAGGGAAGCTATGACATTCATATTTCACATGTGTATTCCTTTTGACAAGGCTTTTCTTTGGATCATGTATCACCAAATTTGACCTTTTGACCTTGACCTTTGAGTTTAACCCAGTTAACACAAAAATTTTGAACTTTTACTTTGGCAATATCTTTTGAACAATAAATACCAGGACAATAATACTTGACATGTGTTTTTTTTTGTGGAACAACCTTTCATTGAATACCAACAATCTTGACCCTTTGACCTTGAAGATTTCCGTATCTATGAAAAAAGTTTAAAGTTTGCTATAACTTTGATCAATAAGTACACGGGCTTTTAGACTTCACACATGTAATTCTTATAAAAAGACCTTTCATTAAATACCAAGAACATTCACCCTTTGACCTTGACCTTGGAGTTTGATCTACTTTAAAAATACAATTTTGACCATAATTTTTTAAGGGTAAGGACTAGGGCATTCATACTTTATAAATTTAATTCCTGTGACAAGAACTTCCACTTGATATCAAGAACCTTGACCCTTTGACCTTGACTTTGGAGTTTGACCTTTTTTTTTTTTACAAAGTTTACAATAACTTTTGAACAGAAGGGGTTCGAACTTTCATATTTCACATGTGTAGCTCTAGTGACAAGACCTTTTATAAATTTCAAGAATCTTTGCCCCTTTGACCTTGACTTTAGAGTTTGACCTACGTTTTACAAACTTTAACCTTGGTCATAACGTTTGAACTTTTGAACGGTAAGGGCTAGTACTTTAATACTTTTCATACATAATCTTTGAGACAAGGTCTTTCTTTAGAAACCAACAACATTAACCTTTTGACCTTGACCCTTTGTCCTATCTTATAAAATGTTAACCTTGGTCATAACCCTGAACAGGTGTAGCTAGCGTTTTATATTTCGCATTTCTTGTGAAAAGGCCCTACGGTTGGGTCAACCATATTTGATCTGTATTTGAGAAAGCTTAACCTTCGCTACGTTGCTATAAGGGGGCATCAGTGTTTCACAAACACATCTTGTTTACTTTATAATATCATCTTACAACTATAATCTTTAATGTTAAAAAGAAAATATGTATCAGATAGAGTCTGTACCTTTAATATATTTATTCTGATTTAGGATTCTGCACTGAGTTTAACGAGCAAGGCTTACTGATACAAGACCACTATGCAAAGGACTGCACAACGTTTGATATCCCTTGGCCAACTCGATATTTGTCCACAAAGGCATACAAATGTATAACATTTCTACTGGATTTAAATTTAAAAAAAACTTGAAAATATCTTTCTTTGAAATATGATTGATGCACAGAACAGCATATTTAAATAAAAAATACAATATGTATAATATACGAAGTAGTGTATTATTTTATGGTTATAATTATGTTTAACATAGAAAAAGTGTATAAAACATGCTATAAATTACACTTTTCCCTTGTTTTAAAAGGTTACTTGTAACAATATCATGATCAGGTAAAATGTCAAGAATGTATATAAAATAATCTGACGTTATTTGCATTCTACAGATCAGGAATGTTATCGCTTAGATACAAAAACCATGATGAACCAGTCAGATAACATCGATAATTTAGTAATTGGGTTTGTAAAATTATGCTTTTGAGTTAATTAAACAAACAATTTTAAAAATTTCTTGAATCGATTGAATGCACTAGGTTATATGGATTATTTTTAAATTTTTCAAAACTTTTGAAGGTACAAAATGCTGTTTTTTAAAATGAAATTTATGATTTTTTTTTCGTTTTCCTCCTTAATTACAGAGAAACTGTAATGGGGATACTGGTCGGTTTACTTTTTGCAACACTCGTTTGCTGCATTATTTTCCGAAATCGAAAAAATATACATGTCAATAAATACATAGGTAAGAGTTCGATATTTTATTTCATGATTTTAAATTTTCATTAACATGCAGATTTTCTTTGAAATAATACAAGATGCATTTAAATTGAACCGTCTTGCAAATAAGGTTTAGATTGTGTACAAGGCAATCAAAGTCAAGAAGATGTCACAAGAGGTGAAAGAATTATAACTGAGCATCAGGGAGGTAAGTGCTAGTTTTCACATCACTATACTCTTTATTTAAAGAAGATTCAATTTTCATGGAAAAACTAGTATACACGTAGGAAATGTTTATTTTATAATAATATATCGATATATCAACGTGTCAACTAAAATTATAACATTTTAAAAACTTTGTGAGGTTTTTGTTTTGTAGCCACGGGGCACATGGCATTAATTTAAAGCATAACCCTTTATTTTCAATTTTCTTTTCAGAAAAAGAAAAACTCATTTTTTGGCAAGAAATTTACCCGTATAATTGTACAATGAAACTATGTTTAATTTTTTTCTAGAAGGCAGGTGTCTGAAATTATTATATTTTATATTTCTTTCAAGGTGACATAATTTATTACAATAACGCAGCAAACGGACGAAACGAAATGGAACAAACGGAAGGTATATATGTTATTTTTAAATACTATTATGGAGAAAAAATTTCGACTTTTTATAAGACATTTCTGTGAACTTCAAAGAACATTGAAGCCCATTTAGAGGATAAAATGAAAATTATTGCATTGAAAAGATTTCAATTTCAAGCTTCATTTTGGGATTTTTTAAATTTAAATTATAAATTAAAGCGTTATCCTTCCTGGCTGAGGATCGGAGTTCCTTAACAGGACTACTAGTAAGTGTCTGGCTTGCCTTAAATCTTCCTATGTTAAAAAACCCCTTTGCGAAATCCCCTTAATTTTCCCTGGTCACTGATTTGATGCACATATTACTTCAAAATCTATACCATGTAACACCTGTGTAATGAAGCTTTCACTTGGTCGGAATTCTCTAGATCTATACACATGTAGTATTGATCATGAAAAGAAAATGATTTTTAATATCTGCTATATTTTTACTGTTCTTTTTTTATTGTGTTAAATCTGTCTTTTCCAAAGGAATTTGCGCGTGAGCAATCGTAAATACCCTTTGTTCAGGGATGATTCTAGGTTACTAAATTCATTCAGTTGATTATTTGGTAAAGTTACATATATAAGTGTAGGAACAGAGTGACGTTGGACGACATTTGAATATATGAGCTCATTAACACCTTTGATCCATGTAAACTAACAAAGCAAAGATGACTTTAATTTACATATTAGGCCAATTGCTACAATGTAACGAATTATGGTTTAATTTCATACATGCATTATTTCATATAAATGATTTGTGAGATACGAGTATGGACGACACTCTACAAGTTAAGAACTGGTGAATCATTTTACATAAACATTATTTTGCAATTATAGAAAATCCTACAGACCAAAGTTTCAACACAAGACTAATACAAGAAAATCGGCAAAGGTATTTAAGAGCTAGGTTCACTTTATGCAGACAATGGCCCTGAAATTTTATCAATTAACTAACTATCACCCTCTTTCCCATTTCATATATCAAAATAAATTATACACATGGTAATTTCATTTTCTGTATTAAAAATTATTTTTGAGAATTCAGATATTCGAAAACAGGCTTTGAGAAATAGCAATGTTATTGAAATTTGCAGAAAACATGCGTATTTGACTACCTTCAGCAAGAAATTAAAATATGAGTACAGCCCACGATTAAAAAAATAAAACATGGTTTTTTTAATCTTTAGAAACAGATATTTCATTATGTATTTGCGTATTTTGGATAAGAGGTTGTGCTCCTACATGAAATACTGAAAAAAAAATAACATCAACATTAGGTCATTTTCAAAGTAAGTTACAGGATATGACGTCATAATGCATTGATTAAAGGGAAAATTACGTCATGATGAATATAACGTGGTCACCAACACTCCAAGTGATAAATACAACATTTGCAACCTAAACTGAGTGGTTTTAATTTTTCAAAACTTTCAAGGGCAAAATTAGGCCCATAGTGGCTTTTGGTCTTTCTAAGCATAGAACCTATCATTTTTGTAATTAATTTATATATAGATTCAGATCACTTGCTTTAATCTAATTCTCCTCTGTATCAGTCCAATATTTGGAAGGGAACCACCGACTGTTGCACCAAAATAATGATGTGATGCACATCTTCAAAATAACAATTTAAACAAAGAAGATTGCTGATATATAGATACATTATAATTATACTGAAATCAATTCTAATTTTTCGAGGCGATTTCGGAGTTTTATTATCTGTCAGTAAAACTCGTATCTTTTAATTTTTTATTGATAATTTATCAGTTATTGAAATTCAGATGACGATACCAAAAATGAAAATAATTTTTTTTTCAAAATTTCTTTCCTGCGTCTATCTCAACCATGATTCTCCTTTCCAGAGCAGTTATCTGTCGTACAGAGATATTTTATTCGACCTTTTCAGAAAGATAGTCCTTGTTGGTCGAAATTGGCTGGGCTATGCTTGAGCCTTCAAACCCTAGCCTCCAGTTACATTGTAGCACCACAGATTTTTAATTGAAAATAATAATTTGCTTCTTTTATAGGTCAAATTTGCCAGTTCAAGAAGGATATATAGAAGATCTGTTGTCAGCCCAGGAAATACATCGCGTAAAACATTTCTAATAAAAAAAATAATAAAATAATGATTCCCCTGATTTAGATTGCTAGTTCATGTATGCATATGTAAGTTTAAAAGTTATCTCAAACTTGAATTGGGCTCTTTTACGCTCAGATTTCAATTTGTTTCCATCTTATTTTTTATATATTCAAGGCTAAACGTATAAATACGTAGAACGAATTTAAATGTTGCTTACCGATGCATAAAAGGTAAAATTTTGCAACAAATAAATAAAAATATTGCTAGTATGCAATATTAGCTTTTTAAGCGAAAAAAAGAATATGTGTTTATGAATAAATGAATTCCCGCAGAACATCTTATAGTGAGGATTTAACATTGTTGAATGCAAGTCATACTCCAAGATCAAGAAAAAAGTTTTACATTATTGCTAAATGTTCAAGTTTTTTTAAAAGTAGGTCATGCTCTAAGATCAAGGTGAAAGGTCAAATTACTTATAGCATTTGAGAAGACTTTTCACAATAAGTACACATATGCCATCCAATTGTCCTAGCACCAAGTGTTTAACAGTTATGGTCAAAGTTAAAGCTAGAGGTCAAATTTGGTTGTACATATATCTAAAGAAAGTACTAGTGACAATTCAAATACCCGTGAAATATATGTATGTAAGCCATGGAAAAATCCACTTAAAAGTAAGGACAAAGTTAAAGTCTTTACGGACCAACTGACAAACAAACAATGCAAAAACTATACACTCAAAAATTAGCTCATGGTGACATAAAAACTCAGCCATATTTTGAAAAATGATTTCAGATGTATAGCATTTAAAAAGCCATATATTTAAAACGATAAGTAGCAAGTTCAGTTTTGAGAGCTTGTCAATGTATGGCTTTTTATTCTTTATCACACATTTTTTTCAGTAATTGAAGATTTGGAAGTATGTAGTTTTTACCCGTCTGTCTGTCTGTCCGTTTGGCAACAAACACATCAATTTAACTGGCAACTTTTATTGATTGGACCTATGTCAGACAGGATCCTGGTTAGGATGTTGGTGATTAATACACATTTTCTAAAAATTTATCCCCTTTAACCTTATAGCCATTACTTTTCATGGTTTGTACTATGGCTTTTATATTTCACATGTACATGTATCATTTGCTTTACGAGGACTTTCCATGTGTGTTTCTTGATCTTGGAGATTGCCCAATATTTAAAAACAAACTTTGACCGAACATTGCAGTAATTGGGCGATTAGATTTCACAATTATATTTCTTATGATGAATTCAAGAGTTAGTGTTAGGACTTTTATATTGTGTATGCAGACTTCATCTGGCAAAGTTTTCCCAAGATTTCCAATAATTTTAACTCTTTGGCCTTCACTTTAGAGTTTGATTTACTATTAGAAAACGTTTATTTGACAATAATATTGTATTCATGCTTAATTGTATATTCATTTATATACATGTACATCTTTTTTCCGAAAGGCAAAATCAGATCTCTTGACTTGGACCTTACAATTTGACCTGCAGTCCAGAAATTTTTATCCTCGCTATAATCGGCCTTCCAGGAACATTTTTTTGACAATCAGTCATCTTTTAATGTAATTATTATGCGTAGATGCGAAGAATTTAGTCAATTTGGAATTCGAAACTGATATTCTCTCCATTTTGGCATTTCAGCTGTTTATTTAGTAAATTGAAATACATCAATGTTACAAATTATCAAAGGTCAATGTTTGTAAGAATCTTTTATTGAATTCAGTACTTTTTTATTACAGTATTGTCCTGATGGACCACAAGAGAGGTATTTTTCATTATACTTATGGAATTTTCTTTCAAATCTTATATGTCGAAAATGTCAAGAAAACAATTATTTCATCTTCCATCCATACACGTATTTTACATTGCATCTAAAATATTCGTTATCTCCAAATGTTTTATAGATAGAAAGATGTGGGAGAGTTTCAACTTATAAGTATATACGAGGGTTGTCCCAAAATTCCGTAGACAAGCGTTGTTTTGTAGGAACCCTATGTCATACATTAATGAAACTTCGTATATAGAATAAACCGACACTATCTAATAAATTTATGGACAAATATGGAGTAACTACACAAATTATTCCAATTTAAAAGACGCATTTCATTGTCTGGTGTAGGTAGGCGGCGCAATACCCAAGAGTTGCAATTAAAATTTGGTATTTTATATTTAAAATCCTACGGAAACTTAATTACTACCCCGTATTTTTTTAATGGAAATGAAAATTCTTAATACTGTTCTATTAACTACATTTCCCCAAATTTTGGAGTTTATGCTTTGATAAATATGATTTTTATAACGTTTTATATACACGAGGTTGAAATCCGACTTTCTGAAAAATGGCGGCTGCGTTGGCACAGGCAGCGCACTGGATATGATCAAGTGTTTTGATCCCGAATTCACTCTTACAAAAATGTACCAGTCATAAATGTTTGGTAGACTAGGAAACTTTGTCTCATTCTGAGTATTTAAAATGATTAAAACGGTTTCTCTATGTGTTTGTAAATAACAGTAGCTAAAATAAAAGACGGGGCTAAGAAATGGGCAAGAGTTGCATTGTGGTACTCCCTTAGAGAAAACAGACGAAAAGCCCGTAGAAATGTAGCGTTTTCAAATCATTATTATTTCATACCTGTACATGCATACATGTATACTTTGTTTACATATTTTAATGTTTGATCATATCATAGTAATTAAGATATTTTACATTTATAACTATAACCGTTTCGTTTAATTTAAGAATTAGATTCTAGTAATTGAAATATTTTCTCCAAAAATTTGAACTGTTGACATTTGTATTTTTTCATTTTTTTGACGTTGCAGATTGCTCCGGGTGTTAGAGAACGATATCACTTTAAATGTTATTACTTGAAAAGTTTTCAAGTAAAAATCATAAAACTTCGTAATTTATCTGCCAAGAACACGCTTTATCCACCCTGAAAATTTTATTTAGATACATAAATTTCTTTAAAAGATATAAGCTCAGTCTACGAAATTTTGGGACAACCCTCGTAGATGGTCCCTTTTTCTCCTTCTTTTTTAAGAGTAGCAGTACTTGACGACACAATTTTTTTTCCATTTCCATGGTGAATGTAGTAGTTCTAGTTGTGCTTCATTTATTTCATTATTCATTTCTTTATTCATAATTCATAATAAATGTAAAATAACTTACTTTTTGATACAATTGTCATGGCTTATAAAAGAAATATTTTGTTTTGTCTCCCATTTTCTAGTACAAAAGAAAAGACGGCAATCTGATATTAAGGATAAATAGCACAAAGATTTTCTTCCAAAATTCAGATAAATGTATCTTAGCTAAGCCTTTCTCTTTTAAAGTAATATGTGTTTAATTAAACAACATATAATGTTTAACCAATCAACAAAATTTTGCAAAAATGTAAATTTACAGTTTAGATGTTTTTAAAAAGTATGTTGTATTCATTTTTCTTGCTTCGAGTTTTCTGTTAATATTTACAAGTTAGAGTGTATTTTAACACTATTTAAGATCAAAATCTGAAAATTACATTTCTATTTAAAGAAATATATAGAAAAAATACCAGTGTTTGGGAGATAAGAAAATTTGTTTGTGGTATGCATCCTAGGTTTAAACATTGTATATTTACATTTGCAAGTATCTTTCTTAGACGAACCTATTGAAGATAAAATATATTCAATTCTGTATGAACTTTATTAGGAGGGTCAGAAGTCATAACGCGACCGACACAACAAGTTAATTAAGTGAAAAGATTCGGGATATTTTTAATCAGGAGATTTACAATTAATGTTCTAATGCTGTAAGAAAAAGATAGAATGAAAAAAGAAAAGAAATATTTTTTAATAAATCTTACTCTTGAATAAATGTTTTGAATACTATAATTAGCCTTAAACCGCACTTCCCTTTTTATATTTAAACTAAAACAGGCGATATCACCGCTTTTGACTACAAATATATTAACTAATGAAAAAATCACTAAAGATTATTCTCGACAGCGATTATCTTATTTCACTATAACATATATTTCCTGAACTGGAGTGCTAAACATAATTGTAAACATTCAAAAGTTGGAGCGAGGTGAACTTTCAAGACCAAACAACTTGTAGGTAATTGCGCGTCACAAGATAGCAATATGGCGGCCCATTCGTGTAATAAACGCAGTTTTACAATGAAATTAATTAACAACAATGCTAAAAAGTTAACTGGGAAATGAACTTAGGCGGCGTATGATCAAATCTACTGAGAAGCTACATATACACGGGATTCATATGACTTGATCACGTAACAACTAAGATAATTTCCTAGAGATGTTCAAAACATTTTTGTTTATTTCTTAAATGACTCTGATTAAGAAAATTAATCAATTATTGATTATGTTAATTCATAGAGTTCTACATATCCAAACAACAACAATAACTTTATTTAACCCCGCATGGAATTTGTTTATTCAGCAGATTTTTTTCTCACTTCCTTTATATATGCATTAAATTTTTAATTCTTTTTACTTTACCTATTTATTTATTTTTTGTAGCGAAGACAATGTTTCCTGGGAAAACCAATCATCGGCTCAACCTTCTCAAATTGGTGATTATCAAGACGCAATATCATGTCGAAATCCTAATTCTAGGTAAAAATACCGAAACAGGTATTAAAACTTGGTATTTTATTAAGAACAATAAAGGAATTAATATGTACATGTAAATAAATATAAAGAGACACCGTGATGCACTAAGGTAAAAAATTAAAAATGTAGAATTTTTTTTTCTCACCCGTGCCAATTTTGTTCACTTCCCAAAAGTATTAGGTTTCAGAAATTTACAGGTTTCAGAACTTAAAAATTCTATTTTTATGGAGAAATATAAAAGTAAAGATAATTTCAGTATTTCCCATAACGAAAATATTGCTAAATACTTCTTCCTCCCTATTGTACTCGTGCGCAGAAAAGTTGAATAAATTTCCATAGTTACCATGGTCTCAAGTACCAATGATTGATTGTAAGTAGACCACAAATTTTGATGCAAACTTTCAAAAACGTTGTTAGAATATATTTCTCACATTTGCATGCTTCAGTTGAATATTATTTACAAGTTTGAACTTAAAATAAAAGTGGTGTGACCTCGACAAACACGAAAACAACGAAACGGTAGATACAACCTTTGCTTTTTCGGCACTTATATTGTGCACTTGTTTCTTGCAGTTTGTTATATCTTAGCTATAATATAAGCACAATTTTCAAGTTTTTTTCTGTATGCTACATATATCGTAAAGGAAAAACATAATTTTGACTCCTTGTGTTACTTTAAAATACATAATCAAAATGCTTTGAAAAATGAGATTCTAATTCGGTAAAGAAGACAAAAAAAAAATAATTTGAAAGACTTGAAGTAAAAAGAAAAAGTTGTTTGATATAATATTAATCGTAAACTCTACATATAAAAAGGTCAAATATCAATTAAGAATTCAGAAGCTTTGAAGAACTTTAAAAGATCTCTCTCTCTCTCTCTTTCTTTCTTTCTCTCTCTCTCTCTCTCTGCTTCACTATGTTTTAATATGTTCATAAATTGAATATCATATAAATTGCTTTCTTATATAAATTAATTATTATTTTACATCTTAGGATCACTAAATTAAATCATCTTTCTAGATATAATAGTTTTACTATGTAAACATTATTAAACCTTTATCAAACAATATTCAACATTTATTATATAGCTAATAATTAGTCTCTAATAAAATACTAACAAAAATCTAGAGAATTTTAGCGTTCAATACCCTGACTTTTTATTAAACGCTAACTTTGTATAACGTATATGAGTATGCCCGAAACATTCCGAATACGAGCGTTTAATATCGAACGCCCCATTATGAACAAAAAGTCGTCTGGTCAAATTCTCAGAGTTAAATTAAAGAAAGGAAGTGGCATCTAGGTAAGATGTGTTTATTTTTCACACAAAGATGAAATTATTTATTAAAATATATATAGAACGTATTAGACCCATTTAAAGATGAATAAGCAAATCATATTCGCTCGGTAGGGTCATCGCAATGATGCGATATTAAACGCTAAAAGGACAGTCGTTAATTTGAATATCGATATCAAAAAAAATCATTAATTCAGTTTTTTTTGTTGGAATAATTATTTTAAATTATGTGAAAATGTTTTAGCTATATATAAAAGGAGTTATTGAACTGATCTATGTGAGTATTGGCACTAGTTAGTTGTTAAAATGCACTCACAAGCTCGTGCATTTGAACTGCCAATTTGTGCCAATATTCACTATTATATAATAAGTTCTATAACTCTATATTATTTAATCATTGTTTAAACATACAAACTATCTGATGTAATCAATATGCCATTACTTTATGTAATTAGGATTTTGCTTTTTTTTTTCGGATAGGCTTATACATGTAAATGGAGAAGAAGAAGAAGAAGAAATATATGAATAGTACATAAAAACACGTTGAATGCTCGTAGCCTGGAAAGATTGTGTCGAAAAAACTATATTTACAACTAACATTCATTTACTCTCAGTATCATTTTTAATCAACTCATTTAAAGCTTTTTTATTTGTTTGCGGAAGATTTAATTATATTTTTAATAAAAAAATAAATATAGATTTATTTGATTGATTATATTGTATTGCTTATTGAATAATCTATAAAGTCATAATTTGTGTATGTTTTTGCATGTATTTGAGATACTAAAACTGAGTTACCCTTTTTGAATGGAGCATTAGGTATAATTTAATAATTATCAGCACAGAAAAATGTCTTTCAAATCATGCATAAAAGAAAAAAAATTATTACGTTTTTAGGTTAAAACCCCCACATTCTTCATTTAAATATACCTATAAACTCAAAAGCAGAAGTTCTTTCCAGATAACTCCAGAACTTTTTAAGACTGCAGCTTTTCAGAGAATCGAAATGAACACTACAGTGCAGGGAACTAATTTTGTTACATAAACCAGCATCAGGATCAGCATAAGTAGGATCAGGATAGAACTAGCATCATCATCAGCATTTAAAAAAACAGCATTACTTGGATCAGCATCAGCAAGCAAAGGATAGAACTAGCATTGACCAAAGTGAAAACAGATAAAGGAAAGTCATTTAATACAAATTACAAATAAAAATTACCCCAAAAATTATTTTTAATGGCTTAAAATAGCGATGCTGTTTTTGAATTATCCACTTCCGGCAGGATAATCCTACTTCCGATAGCATTACTAGCATTGACCTAGTTTCAAACCAGCATCAGGATAAGGATCAAACCAGGATCAGGATAAGGATAACTAGCATCAAAATCAGCAAGCAAAGGAAGCATCAAAATCAGCAAGCATAGGAAGCACCAAAATCAGCATTGATGCTGTAACAAAATTATTTCCCTGCACTGTACCTAAGTAACTGTAAGACATTTACAGCTCTTTTTTGGACTCAAATGCTTTGCCAAACAGACAGACTGACAAGATGACTGTTATATCTGTGGAAAACTTTGCGAGATGTATAATTGTAATCATCAGTGGTCATAATAATGGTTGAATTTATTGTGACTTACTGTGAAGTCATTCAATAATTATTTATCATGTTTATATTCAATGGAACTAGTCGATTAGCTGAGTGCTTTCTAAAAGCATCGAAAATCACGCATAGATGGATACGGTCGGCTCAAAAGAATGTCGTTTACCAATAAAGAACATTTTCTGAAAAAAAATATAATTATTGGCAATTGATAAAAATAATTATAAACTATTCCTCTAATGAAGATCATACTTTGTTTCAAAGTTACAGTAACTTTGATTATTGCAGTAAACTTGTCTTAATCTCCCAAACCTTTTCCTTATTATTCAAAATTGCCATATTACCTCTAAAGATATTTTGTCAAAGATTTTGATGAAAAAGCAGTACTGCCCAAATCTGTAGAGGTGAATATACCTATAACTCTGCTTACATGAAAATGTAAACGACAATTGTCTTCGTACGAAATACATGTAATTAAGATCAAATTCAGTGGATGTAAATATGAGTTAATAAAAGAAATTAAGGGAAGTCAATTACTTACTGTAAAACGAGAATATTTGGCGCATTACTAATTTTAGCGCCTCTGGTGTAAGGGCCACTGAATGCTAAAATCTATGGTAACAGATCTAGATTTCTAAATATAATATTTTGCTTGTTTAATTCAAAGCTTTTACTAAGTACAAGTAAACCGGAACGCAAGACTACGTAATGTGGAAGGGTCGTTAGATTTTATATATAACACACTAGCACAGTACATTGAAGAATCGATCGAGAAAATTCTGACAAATTATAATTAAATGAAAATATTGTTAGTTGTTATCCCATTATTATTATTATTATTATTATTATTAGCACCTTCAAAGTTTGGCTTCTCGGCGTGCCAACCATCTATCACTTCAAGGTACTGTACACAATACAGTCAAGCATGGCGATTGAGCTTTCAGACAATACCTGATTATGATTACCGTTTATCCAAGTAGCTTTCTTTTGATGTATGCTTTCTTTTGATATAGATAAAATGCGTAAATACTTTATTCTTTATAAATAATTAAACATTGTGCCACGTCCATCTTTTTGCAACACCACAGTAAAGTTGACGAATGTATACTTATATACGGTAGATCTATAAATGTGTTTCCGTGCTTCAAAAAGTCAAATACGAGCGTGGATAAAAAAAAACAAAACCACATCTATATATTTTAATGACAAGTGCAAGCGTTAAACATAATTTCCGCTGATGCATTCTCACTTGCGTTTGCGCTAAAGTACGTATGCGCCAAATTTTCTCTTTTTACAGTATTTAAACCAGACAAAACCAAAGGGAATTAAATACCAATTAGAAAAGGTGGTAAATGCATTCAATCTTGCAAAATAATTGTGCATGTACTTTGATTGTATACAAAAATAATCTAAAGATCAGTCTTTATCTGTGTGCGTGTCAGTTTGGGATAAATATTCATCTGTGTTCATAGAGACAAGTCTGAAGCAGCCAACTGGAACCCGGTTTTTATTGTGGTACATGCAAGAGATCTAGACAAATCGGAAAGGAAAAAAATATGGAAAACCCCATTGTTAGCTAAAATGAAGGAAAAGGTAAGAAAAAATTAAACAAAAACACGGTATTTTTAACGAATTCGATGTGGTTTACGTAAACCAAAAGAAGAACTATTTTTGACCTCAATTTGGTGGCTTAAGGTGTGGCTCACATCGTTTTAAAAATATTTTTTAGTAGTTATTACAATTATTACTTGCTTTTAAGTTCTTTAAAGGATAATTTTATATCTGCATGTCTCTAATAAATTTAATTTAGGTGTCTCACTGAAGAAAATGAGGAAGAAGTTTTATTGTTAAAGCAAAAGCTGGAATATCCTAAAAATTGCTGCTTTAAATAAACGTGATTCATCGCACAGGTATGGCATTATGTTCTACAATCGAGATATATGGTCTAAGGACAGACAAGACATTTAAACCGTTCCTTTTGGTTGATAATGTATTGTATTTCAGAAAATTTTAAAACTGAAAAGAAACCGCCTTGTATATTCTAACGTTTCGAATATGCAACTACATTGTGTAAATTCCCATATACATTGTATATGTCGTTATGCGAAACTACAGATACCTTAAGGAAGTTCGATCTTCATATTTTGAAAATTATGTATTTACTTATTGATAATGCTCGAAAAAATGAATTTTCGAAGAAACTCGTTTTTAAATTGAACTTCAACTTTAAGAAAAGTTAGTACATCTCCAATGCAAATTGAAACACCTATAATGTATTTTCTGATTAAAAAAAAAAGTTGATTGACAAATACATATTAGGATGTTTATAGGTATCCAGGCTTTTGAGGAAAATTTCATAATTTTTATACGTTACGTCAGTTTATTCATTTTACGTAAATAATTTTAAAATGTATAGTGTACAAAGCATTAATTTTCCTAAAACTGCAAAACATCATAAATCACTTCAAATTTCATATGATGCGTAGAAAGGTAGATGTCCAAGGCTAGATTAATAAATATTAAAAAGCATAAAATGATAATTGTTGCACAAACAGGTTTCAATTTCAAGCGTCGTTTAGATATATTTTGATTTATTTATAAATTAAAGAGTTATACTTCATGGCTGAGGATCAGATATTCTCAATGTTCACTGATAAAACAGATAAAATTCCATGAAGTTGATGACCAAAAATCCCTTAAAAACGGTCAAGTAAAGCACTCACTTATACTCACAAGGCTAACAGACGTCAAACTGACGAAACATCGGGGGTTAAACGAATGAATAGATTCAAGAGTCGCCCCCTTCAGCTTCTTATGCAGGACTCATATGATTAATGTAAAGGATACTACAAGATTATTATCAGATTGTAACCGTACAAACATCGATAAACTAACAGACTCAGAAATGAGTACCATAAAAAACAAAATTTCGACGAAATTGTCTAGCCTCAGTGCAAGTTAATTAAATCCGAAGGCGAAGTAATGTTGTTGAGTAGCCTCTGTTTAAAGATAGCTATAATCAAAATTAATATTTTCTTATCTATTATCAATTCTTTACCACCGTGCATAATGTAGGTTTAAATGTCTCAAAGCCGTCAACTGTAAAATTCAATGCACCTAGCTAGAGTCCTGTATGAAACCAGATAAATGTTATTACCCGAGAAATCCGGAAAGTTTCACCAGACATGTGCAGAAATGTGATCAATAACTTTAAGAAAAGACTTGAACTCGTAATTGAACCAAATGGACGTCACGTAGAGCATGTGCTGTAAATAACAGCATTATTTTGAGACTGCATTATTATTTTAAAGAATGTGTATAAAATTTGTGGCATGTATTGTGTAAAATGTTATAACATATGTAAAATTTGTAATATTTGATTAAAGAGTTACATGGTATTTTAAAGAATTATTATCGCTTGAAATGGTATCAGATATTTTGGATCACCCTGTACGTAAGTAAGTAAACTTATAAATAATATTCTCTGAAGAGGCTGGTAATTTGCCAGTCAAAAAGTTTTTTTTCTTGTTGACATAAATCAGTCCCAATGTTTTTACATACCCTGAAAAGTCATTTGAAAGTTCAAAAGAATTGATTTTTTTTTGGAAATGTGAACATTGGACGATTTGTGGCTTTTTTTGCACTTAGACTGGATAAGTATTGAATAAATTTTACCATTCTGAATGATACGCTAGGAAACAAATGTTTAAGCCTATTTATAAGTTTAACTGCATGAAATGTCATAATTTGTTGAGACTTCCTCAAATATGTCAAGATTCCGAGATTTTTAGCTCCTGATTTGACTACAAGTTCTATTTTCAATAACATGCCTCTAACTCGTGAACTAGGGCAACAATGAAATAAATATATGTGGCAATTTTAATGATATATTAATACTATATTGCACACAGAAATTGATATCAATACATAAACCTTGCCTGTGGAATGTTTTGCATGGTTTTCTCTGAATCGCTCACTTAAACAATGTAAAAAAAAATCATTCTAACGTAGAACCCCCCCCCCCCCGATTTTTAGGCTACCTTTAATACAACAAGCAAATTCTAGGAATTGTGGTCCACCGCTTTCGGTGTCTTTGTGGGTGAGATTTCATTTTTATGACATATTGTGTGTAATATGAACACCCTATCATATGTAATTTCTTTAGATATCATCACTGAACTCCAAGGTCAAGGACAAAGGGTTAAAGTTCTTGGTATCCAATGAAAATTCTTCTCAAAAGGATTACATATGTGAAGTATAAAAGCCCTAACCCTTACCATTCAAAAGTTATTGTCAAGGTTAAAATTTCTTCATAAGTACGAAAAATCTCCAAGGTCAAACATACATGTCCAACGAATAAAATGTCGATATCGACGATATCGACAGTATTATGTAGATATCGTATCGATATCGATCATGATGAGCACTATTAATTTGAAATACCTGGTACCATATGTGAGACTTTGTGCTATGTTGATGTCGTCGACATTGACAATAACATGACGATATCGGTATCGATCTCGATCCTATGTGTAGAATTTATTTTCACAATGAGGTATAACATATAATTTTACAAGGTCACAAGTAAAGTCAAATTCATTCATTCATTATTAGCATGAATTTGAAATTAAATCATGGTAAGGAAAGGGTTAGCGGTTGTTATTAATTTAGATTCTGTTTAGAGTAAGATGTTAGATGAGGGTGAAAGTTGTTAAATATGTTTTAACAATCATGATTCGATATCGATACGATATCGTCGATATCAATGATATCGATGACAGGTACAATCTTCGTAAAAGTAAAGTTAATAAACATAAATTCACATACAAAGTAACAGGTACGGTATTTACAAAGAGCTTAGCAAACATGATTCGATATCGAAGCGACATAGTCGATATCGACGATATCGACACTACAAGGAAAGTTTTATAAAAGCTAGTTTTCAAATAACGTTATGTCTTGGACATAACTCAGGTCGAAAGGTCAAGTTTGTTGATATCAAATGAAAGGTCATGCCACAAAAAATACATATGTGAAATATGAAAGTCCTGGTATCTACTTTTCAATAGTTGTGGTCAAAAGGTCAAATTTGGTGGTACCCAAAGAAAAGATACACAAATGAAATATGAAAGCCAAAGCTCCACTAAATCACAAGTAATGGGCAAGGTTAAATTTTTTGTGACGGGCGGACAGCTTAACAGACTGACAGACTGATGTACAGACGAATGAGATTTAATGTCCCCTCTCTCTTGCGAAAACAGTGGACAATAAATGCACAAAGTAAATATTAAGTGGGAGTGACGTTTCCAATTCTCTTGAAAACTAGTACTGAACATCAAATTAAGCAACTCTGAGTTTGCATTATTTGCTATATAACTTATAATTGTATCGAACAGAATTATATGTTTAAGTGTTTCTTTCATATCTTTAAATAAAGAGAATATCTCATGTCACGATTATACGGGTACATTGGTTGTAAGAGCGTGTAGTTTTATATGGAAGAGCGCTCAGAATGTACTCATTCTGAGCTTTCAGAATACGAGAAAATATGTAAAATTATAATTGAAGTTGATTTTTTTTAAATTAGATCAATTGTGAAGGTCAAGGGGTAAGAAATAATATCATGCTTGAAATTATCTTGTCACAGTTTAATATGCACATGTCAAATATGAAAGATCTAACTCCTCTCAATATATAAGGAACAAAATGTGTTTGTGAAACACTGATGACCCCGTATGGCAACATAAGGGAGATTAAACTTTTCTTAAATACAAATTAAATATATTATTACCCAGAGTAGGAATTTTCTCACAAGAAAAACGATTGTGAAATACAAAATCCCTAGCAACACCTGTTCAGAAGTTACAGTCGAGGATAAATGTTTGAAAAGTAGGTAAAAAATGTAAATCCTGAAGGTCAAGGTCAATGGGTCACAAATCATAGCATGTTTGGATATATCTTGTCAAATATGAAAACCATATCTCTTCTCAAGATAAGGAATAAGATGTGTTTGTGAAACACCGATGACCCCGTATGACAACATAACAAAGATTAAACTTTTCTTAAATGCAAATTATATGTATTTTTACCTAAATTTGTTTTATTAAAGTAGGTCAAACTCCAATGTCAAGGTCATTCTTTATCTTCAATTAGAGGTCCTGTCACAAGGATTACATATCTGAAACATAAAAGCCTTAGCCCTTACCCTTTAAAAGTTATGATCAAGGTTTGCTTTTTCAAAGTAAGTTATACTCTAAGGTCAAGGTCAAAGAGTCAAATTCTTTGTATCTAATGAAAGGTCTTCTCAAAGTATTACGTATGTGAAGTATAAAAGCCCTATCCCTCATTACCTTTCAAAAGTTACGGCCAAGGTTAACGTTTTTCAAAATACAGAAATCTTCAAGGTCAATAGATCAAGGTTGTTGGTATGCAATGAAAGGCCTTGTCACATAGAATACATAATAAAGTGAAACATGAAAATCCTAGTATCTACCATTTAAAAGTTATTGCCAAAGTAAAAGTTCGGAATTTTTGCTTTAAATGTGAGCCAAACGCCAATGTAAAGGTCAAAAGGTCAAATTTGGTGATACCCAGAGAAAGGACTTGTCACAAGGAATACACTTGTGAAATATGAAAGTCATAGCTCTACTTCATCAAAAGGTATGGGCAAGATTAAAGTTTTTGTGATGGACGGACAGCTAGACGGACTGACAGACTGAAGGACAGACGAATGAGATTTAATGTCCCCTGGCTTTTGCGAAAGCGGGGGTAATAATCCCATATACAGTGTAGATAAAATTTGTAATGTAACATGTACGGACGCACATAACCCAGTCAAACTAGTTATAAAGAAATGAAGAAAATTACTACAAAATTGTATTTTTTAAGTTATGAAAACAATTTGCCTTATGATACAATAATATTCCTGAATAAAATATATTTTAGGTTGAATTATTTGAATGTTTAAATCTGAATGCACCGATTTGATTCACTTAAATTAGACACTAATCAAAATTTTTTAAATTCCTTTGGTGGAGCATTTTTATTTGATAACATCTTTAAAATGCTTCCATGAATAAAAATATCGGACCAATGATTTATTAGGTACAAAATATGGTCGTTATACAATGACTACCTGAAAGAGAGTGTACAAGACTATGGTCAACATTTACAAAGTTATACGGGTATATTTTCGTACGTGTGTCGAGCAGGAAATCATATCTTAGTAATATTCTTTTATTTTAATTAAGAAATAAATAACAAGTTTATAAACTTCAATGGGAATTGAAGTGGGTCGGTCATGTGATCAAATCCTGTAAAAGCCGAAGACCTTCTCAGAAGATTTGATCACGTACCGACCCACTTCAATTCCCATTGAAGTTTATAAACTTGTTATTTATTACTTATATATACATTTGAGACAGACATTTGAATATTTTCGAATTTAAATTTTTGCACTAACTGTCCATCGTGTATTTTGAAAAATGACGCAAGGTGTAAATAGGCTTGCATGGCGGTTGCGCTTCGAATGCATTAGGCTATGGAATCTATTTCGAAGGGAATATTTTGTGGAAGGCTACTTGTGATTAGTAATAGTGAAAAGATTGTTGTCTGGGAATATTTTTATTCGTGAAAAATGATAATCTATGCTGAAAAGACACAAGAAACACGTCCGAAGTTTGATGATAAAAAGTTGGAGGAATTTCGGTCGCCGGAAAGGGATGGTTGTATCGATGGATTGAGACACTTGTCCGAGCCAGTTAATTTGCAATTTGATCAAAACACTCTACGCTTTCAGTAACTAAAGGCATACTTATCGTAAAACACTGTTAAACACGGAGACAATGGCGACAGCTTTACATTGAACTACGAAAACGCCGAGATGTTTGGCAGCTGTTCATGGCATAATTCCAATGATATTTTTCAACAGATTTACACATTTATCGTGAGTAAAATTTAAAGATAAAAAAAGTTTATCATAAAAATTTAACCAAAGGTCTACCCCAAAAATAAGGATGAACTTTAAAGTGCAGCTGACAAAAGTGAAGAAAAATGTAAACAAACGCTAGACTCTTATTTTTTTCCCCTATGTACAAAGGTTGAATCGATAGCCCCAAAACTGTATGAAATACTTGTTTACATTGAAAATTAAATAAATATAATTTTACTTGCTTATTTTGTTCATTTTCATACATGAAAAGCAAGTAGAGCAGGTCATTTTATAATATTTATGTACCGGTAAACATTCTTGCGCCGTGTGATTAGGTCACGTATGACCTCTGACCTCTGACAAATTTCATACAGAATTGAAGATATTTTCTCTCTGTATGTTTATATAATGGAGAGATACCAAAAATTTATATATTTGAAATTAAAATTATGCTATTCCATTTTTATATTGTAGAAATTAGATCAAGAAAACTAAAATGGGAGTCTTCCTGACAGAGGAAAGGGGAAACTAGAACGGAGAATTACCAGATCTGAAAGAGATGGAGTGAAAATGGACTCGATATATCTCATTAATATTTTGATATTATTTGTAAGAGTATATTGACTTTGTCGTGAAATTACAGTACTTACATCTTCTCTTTTTAAATTAAATACTACATGTAGTATGATTAAGATGAATTCTAAATCCAGTTTTCTTTCATTCCTTACAGCTGTGTATACATGTAGGCCTGGCTCAATGCAAAGGTTGCGCAGAGTCCTTAGCAACATTAAGCATTGTTTCAAAGTGCCCCCATGATTATGAATCCTGGAAAACAGCGGCCAAAAGGAAACATTGTGAAAGTATAGCTAAAATTCAGAGGTGCTCAAAGCCAGAGGAATTTGTGTATCATTGTCTTATTAACAATTGGGAAAATGCAACAGTTGAAGTTTGCGCTCCTACTTGGTATATTAATGGTGAGAAAGTACATGTAAATATATATTAGGTACGATCAATAACTCTTAATTGATGATCTTTTAATCTCTGTATTGCATCTTTACTATGGCATGATGTTAATCCATATTTATCTTTTATGCCTCCTCCTTCCTTTACCTAAACATAACATGAACACCATATATATGTTGAAATTGTAATTTATTGATCAAATAAATCTTGATCAACAATCCAAACATGTAGTAGAAACAAATCAAAATAAAAAACCAAAATATTCCTAAACTACATGCAATTATACAGTTAACAAAAATAAACAAATACAAAAGAATGTACAAAATGCAATCAGTACTTCAAAACCAAACACTTAAGAGTTTACTTTTTCATACAATGAACATAGCTAAGTTAAAAGTGGACTTTGAATCTGTCTTGAAAAACGGACAGACATACATACAAATTTACACACATAAATACATATCCGTAAACATAAAAAGTAACAGGTATGGGACTAACAGATAAGTTTAAATGTAAATAATCAAATAATGGGCAAAGGTGGGGTCCATTAGGGGAGGAGGGTGGGAAAACAAAAATTTCGTTAAAAAATTTCTTTGTGATGTTGCGCTTCTATCAGGCTAAAGTTACATAAAGAAAGGACGCTATCTCTCAGCCAATCAAAATCCAGTATTGTTAAGAGGTAACATACGGGTATTAGCTTTGGTTAAATAATAGAGGCTCCCCACAGGTTACAAAATAAAATATGTACAGTTGTCAGCATAAAATCATTTATTACATAAATAGCATTTATGCCTCCTCCTTCCTTTACCTAAACATAACATGAACACCATATATATGTTGAAATTGTAATTTATTGATCAAATAAATCTTGATCAACAATCCAAACATGTAGTAGAAACAAATCAAAATAAAAAACCAAAATATTCCTAAACTACATGCAATTATACAGTTAACAAAAATAAACAAATACAAAAGAATGTACAAAATGCAATCAGTACTTCAAAACCAAAAACTTAAGAGTTTACTTTTTCATACAATGAACATAGCTAAGTTAAAAGTGGACTTTGAATCTGTCTTGAAAAACGGACAGACATACATACAAATTTACACACATAAATACATATCCGTAAACATAAAAAGTAACAGGTATGGGACTAACAGATAAGTTAAAATGTAAATAATCAAATAATGGGCAAAGGTGGGGTCCATTACCCATAAGTTGAAAAGATCATGCCCAACATGATCTTTGAGATGACCCCACCAAAGCCAGTGCCTGCACATCAAACACAAAAGGAGGTACAAATATCACTGAATATAACAATTCTCTTTTATGCTTCTCCATTGTGATAAAGTCTGCAATGTATATAATTACTTAAATGGCAGGAATATGTCACACTGTTAACGGCCCCAGCAGGTAACAATGATTGAAACTTGGTTTTATACATAGTTTATTTAACAAGGTTACTTGTCCAAGCAGGTTAGATAACCCAAAAATTTTGAACTATTGCTAATACATGTACAATCAATTTCAAATGCATTACCGGCCCCAGCAGGTAAGCAAGTGCAAGTTCGGTTACATATATACAAACAGATTATCATTGTTTAATAATATTACCGGCCCAAACAGGTAACATAGAGCATATGTGCATTATGACGTCCAACAAATCTAAACATCTAATGTTTTACCGGCCCCAGCAGGTAACACTTAAACATATATATATAGGAACTTTGAACTACTGGCCCCAGCAAGTAGCCCATGTCAATGGCAAGCAAAACAAATCATTATGTTTGACTGTAAACCCAATGTATACCAAACCTAATAGGTATAAACAAAATGGCCAAGCAAGGGTGAAAAAACCATATCTATCAATTAGATATTGCTAGGTACTTGATTTGATCGAATATATTTCTGAAATGCATTCGAATTCCACCGTCCCATTGATCTGATTTGTGCATCGGTGCAACCTTTTTGTGCAGCCAGAGTAGCAGCACCTATTCTGAAACTGTGACCCTTGTAGCGCGTACCGTCCAAGCCACATGAGAGCAAACATTTATGGAGGGTCTTATCAAACAAACCCCTGGTCAACGGTAAACCCCCATTCAAAATGAAAAGTGGACCTTCAATGTTCTTCCTAATATTCAAATACTGAGCAAGGGATTCAACAGCCGAAATTTGGCATGGTCCATGTGTAAATGAGATGTATTTGGGTTGACCAGAAGAATTGTGTTTAAATTTCCTAAAGCAAACATTCACTTGATCAAATTTTCCTCCCAAAGAAATAAAACTCACATCTGAAAGTTGAATAACATCATCTAAGTGTTTATCTGAACCTATTAATTCTCCAATGCGTGCAAATGCTGAAAAAGCAAAAAGGAATAAAGCTTGAAACATTTTCCTATTGTATTCCTCATGAACCACTTGTGGTATACCTGACAGCAAACTGTTTAAAATTGACGGTGTTATTGGTAAACGTATGTCAAAGGTATTCCCTAAACGATATGCCCCCGAAACTAATTTCTGGATTACAAATGCCTGTGTTGGGTCTTGATAACTTAAGACTTTGTGAACATAACTAAGGGCCGACAAATAAGTTGAAATAGACTTAGGAGAAAATGAGTCAGAAAATAGATGTGCTACAAAGAGAGCTACCATTGCTGTGGTCAGTGGTAGTTCACATGACATTCCATATCTATCACAGAAAGACAGAAATGTCCTCCAAGCTCTGTTATAGGTAGCTGTAGTAGATGGCGCTATGGCTGCTTCTGTAAGTTGCTCAATGTATTCCAAAAGCCTTGAGGCATCAGAGCTTCTGGTACCACCGATGGTTCTCGTTGAGCATGTGGTGCTAGCTTCTGAAACTCTTGCACCTGCAACCGAGAAAGACTATCTGCCAATTTATTGTGTTTTCCTGGAATATGTTTTGCTCTAAATAATATATTATGTTGTAAACACTGAAGAACCAGAAATCTAACCATCTGTACTACTACTGAATCTTTACTCGTTTGCCTATTGATCACTGACACTAATGCTTCATTATCCGTGAAAAACAGGATAGAGTGATTAGCAAACAATTTACCCCATACGCTGACAGCAATAACTATGGGATAGAACTCTAATGTCATAATATTCAATTTCTTCCACTCATCAGGAAAACTACCATAAAACCACTGAGTTTTATAAATTCCGGCAAAACCTTTTGACTGTGCAGCATCAGTATGCAATTGTAAAGTATTGCTGGAAAGAAAATTTTCATCTAAAAACATTGTTTTCCCATTATATCTCTCTAAGAAAGCTAGCCACACAGACATGTCATCTTTACATTCTCTAGTAATTGCAACAAATTTTTGGTGCTTAGAAACATTCATCAAAAGATTGATTAAACGTCTAAGAAATGCGCGGCCAGGCAAAATAACTGAGCAAGCAAAGTTCAATGTACCTATTAATGATTGCAGTTGCTTAATTGTACATTTGTCCTTTTCTGAAAAAGAATGAAGTAACTGAGTACACTTTTCAATCTTATCCAGGGGTAACCTACTTTCTCTTTGCTTAACATCAAGTTCTTTGCCAACAAACTCAATTATCTGTGTGGGAAGTACCGTCTTATCTGCTGCAAGCGGAATGCCAATATTGCCACAAACATCAAGAAACTCACTGAATTTTCGAAGACATAAAATTTTAGAATGTTCAATAAAAAGAAAGTCATCTAAAATATGGACCACAGCAGATATTCCCAGCTTATTCTTCGCAATCCATTCTATCGCCGAGCTAAACTCCTCAAAAATCTTACAACTCGTTCTACAACCCATGGGCAAGCACTTATCGTAATAATATTTACCCTCCCACATAAAGCCTAACAGCTCGTAGTCGTTTGGAGATACCGGGAGGATTCTAAATGCAGAGCGAATATCTGTCTTACAACAAAATGCATCTACCCCAATTTCTTTAATGTAACCTATAGCATCATCAATACCTGCATAATGAACTGCAGCAGAATCATCTGAGATTCCTGCATTTACAGAACCTACTTGCTTTGTTGGATACGACAAGTGGTGAATCATTCTATATTGATTAGGTGCTTTTTTAGGTACTATACCTAAAGGAGAAATTTTAAGGGATTCGATAGGTAATTCAGTGAATGGACCTGCTATGCGACCTCCATGCAATTCCTTAGCAATTTTTTGACTTACAACATGTGGGTTTTCCAAAGCGGACTTTAAATTTGAACTGAACTGAAACCCCCTTTCCCCTTCATATTCTAAATGAAAACCATTCTTAAACCCATCTATAAGATAAGCAATCTTTTCCTTGTCATATCCCTTCAGATATTCAGCTAATTTTTCATGATTGATAGGAGTTGGCAATTGAGATGAGGACTTAGTCTTTTTTAGGGGGTTGGGAACCAGTTGTGGCGTTATAGTTTGAAGATTTTTTCTCTCTACCTTTCCAACATTGTTTTTTGGGGTGAGGTTTAAAGCACGTTGAGCAAATGTGGGGGTATTTACATTGACTGTTGCATGATTTCCCTTCATTGTATCGAAAACAATGGGGACGAAAAAGCTGGTTCTTAGTATTTTGCCCTTGAACAATTTGACCCCCCAGTTTCTTCATGAGGGCCCGGCTGTACAAAACTTGATCTACATGCCTCCAAGATATTGTGGGGTCCCCTTGCCTGGCCTTCCTAAAGGTAACATCATAATGGAACCAGTCCCCCCCATCTTTCTGAATAGATCTTATCAAATGCATGTAAATAGCTAAGGCCTCTGTGAGGTCCTGATCATTTGGGTTGCTATGTCTTAATACCGAACTAAAAATGCTAAAAGCATCAGTCCACTCTTCAATGCTGATATATTTTTTCTTCTTGTTAGAAGCAAGCCCAACCTTCCCTTTATCTTTGATAGACAAATGAAAGTCTACAAACTCCAATTCTGTAGGGGGATCCAAAATGTCACTCATTTGCACAAATTCCGCTGACAAAATCTTTTCTTTGAGCTTTGCTGTAGCGTATGTATGTAACGGTCTTCCTAAGGGTCTGTACTCAGAATGATTGTTATTACATGTATTACCCTGTCCAGCTGGAAGCTGCTTCCCCATGTCCGTGATGGCTGAAGCTTGGATCTGTTCAATTTGATGAGTTGAACCACCAGAATTCTTATCAACTGTTGGAGGTGTATTGTCCGCTACTTCTGCCTGCGAGTGTTGGTTTGTTAGGACCCCGACCTTCTGGAGCTCAGCCAGTATGTTTTCTGTTACATTTTTCGTAATAGAATTAATGATATCACTATTACTAGTGTCACTTGCACTGTCAGTGTTTGTTTTTCTTTGCACAGTTACTCTTCTCCTTTTCGCTGGAGGCTCCGTCCCTTCTTGCCTCTTCTTTGGACCCATAATTAAGATCTACAATGACAAATCATTTATTAAGCACATGCTAAATAATATTAGCATGCTACTATACATGCCTTCAAATGCATGCCAATTATACAGGTAATGTTACCTGCTAATTTTATATAATAATATATATTTTCTGACAGTAAACTTAATTTAAATGTAATATTTATCTGTCTTCATACTGTTATACAACCTTCAAAAAGGCTATCAACATCAATAAAGGGATATTTGTAACTGAACATGCCTAATGCATGCTAATTGCTAAATCAGAAGTTAAAACCTTTACAGGCAAAAATACTCAAAATATATATACATTATGCTAAGCTATCGAAAGTGAACAACTCTACTTACTCAGTACAGACTGAGCCATAAATTACTTAGCATAAAACAATTGAGCTACTATTAACTCAGTGCAAATGACTGAGCCATATATTACACAATTTACCCAGTACCAAAATACTGAGCCAAAATTTACTCAGCATTAAGATTGAGCAATAATTTTTTAGCATGAATTAAGTGACCGAGTCAACTTATGGTCACAACAGATGTGTGTTCCAGTAATATAAATATAACATAGACCTGTACAAGCAAGGTATGTATATACATAAATATATAGAGAGAGAGAGAGTGCCTAAACATGTATCTCTCCCTTTGCAAACCCAGAACCACTGAGTATTTAAATGCTATACTGCATTCCTAACATATGATATATGCTTTATTTTACCACTAAAGTAACAACAAGTTTAACCAAAATGGCAATTACAATTTAGGTGGTAATGAAATACCGTATGGCATGAAGAACAGGTAGTCTAAGACTCCTATAGAACTTCTTAGTTCCTATCACAGAAAGGTGAACACCATCTCCACAGAGAATAGCTAAAGGACTTTGCATCAGCCTCAAGTGACGCCAGACGTGAGATTAGGATAATCCTCTAACATATCCTTTAACATCTGATTCACAATACGACGCTTAGATTCATACATTTCTACGCTGACTTGTCTTGGTTTAGCCCGGATAAAAAGTTCACAGACAACAATATTCTTAATAAAGCAGAATCTCGATGTCAACGATGAAACCCATTCTATAAGCCTGCATGCAAAGACTTCTGGTCTAACTGCCGTCATAGACATATCGTTCCCACCTAATTGAATCACAATAATGTCCGGTCCGTATGTCCGTAGTTTTTCGATAAACACAGAATCAACTTCCAGTGAATCTAATCTTCCACCGCTAATTCCATAAAAATACACGGTACACAAAGATAAGTCTAGTCCTAAATTATTGAAACATCCTTCAATCTGCCCTAATGAACGTTCAAGTCGACGTATAAAACTGTGGCCAACAACTAAAACTTTAGCCATGTTTGTAAACAAAGTTCAGTATGGCGGTCACACTCGGCAGTGCGTGAAACAAAACAAATCAATTGAAGTCATTTTTTTACCTGTAGAAGTCCCGATTCACTCACATAACGTAAAACTGCAACTTCCTCAAACAATGCAGCAACTCTAACACCGCAATAAAACGGCTAAAACAAAAATTTCGTTAAAAAATTTCTTTGTGATGTTGCGCTTCTATCAGGCTAAAGTTACATAAAGAAAGGACGCTATCTCTCAGCCAATCAAAATCCAGTATTGTTAAGAGGTAACATACGGGTATTAGCTTTGGTTAAATAATAGAGGCTCCCCACAGGTTACAAAATAAAATATGTACAGTTGTCAGCATAAAATCATTTATTACATAAATAGCATTTATTTAACATCATTATTAAATTTTTTTTATAGAATTAAAAAATACGTGTATGTATATATGTGCATGTGATGTGATTATGTCTATAGTTGTTAAAAATGCTCGCACAGCCAGTCAGATATTAAACAATGACCTTGATAAAATAAGTGCATGGGGAAAGTAGTGGTTGATCGATTGCAACGCCTCAAAAACCAAATGTTTATCATTTAGCAATTGACGAATCCCCATCACACATCCCCCACTTTATCTGATTAGCCAAAAATCGACAACGCGGAAAGTCATAAACATCATGGAATACATTTTTCAAAAAATGGCCATTGGAATTTGCACATACAAACAACCCTCCTGAAAGCATCTCAACATCTTCATATACTATGAAAATGCAATTTCTAATTGATAGAAAATCGCTTGAAAATTGTATTATCTTACGTTAGAACGTTGTCAGAATATGGCGATGTCATATGGTATAATTTGTCCAGCGATCTTGTCAATAAAATAGTGCATATTAATACCGAGGCTGCCAGTATAGTAACCGGCTGTACGGAACTTGTAAGTTGTCATAGTTTTTATCAGGACACTGGTTTGGAATTTTTAAAAGACAGAAAATATAAACATAAAATTTTACAGTTTCATAAAATCGTATACGGCATAAATCTTCAATAAGGCTGCCATCTTTATCATAAATAATAAGGAAACGGGTTAGTGCAAGTTTTTGAAACTTGTTTCCGCATCCTTTTTGATCTTTGTACTTCTTGCCTGTATTTCTTGCTTGTCATGTTTGAATAAATATGGTTCAAACTAAAAAAAATAATAATACAGATTTTGAAGGAAACTCTATGCAGGAATTGAATTTTGAAGTCTTTGCACTCTTTTGCAGGATTTTGCGCACAGTTCAACATCCCGGAGGGGAGAATTCTGAACCACCTGCAAAGAGATTGTACATCCTTGCCTATCCCTTGTCCTTCTCACTATATTTCGTCAGAAGCATACAAATGTAAGACATACCTAGTTACAGCTATTATAAATTGTAAATTATATGTAGTTTGTTTTGTTATCAGAAACCTTTACAACTTAACATATATGTTTTCTCGTTTGTTACTCTATTTCGAAAATAGGAATAGGTATCTTATGGCATGGTATAAAGATGACAACTTTCAAAAAAATATATATAAACTCTGCCTTCTTTGTTGTAAATTAAATGTGATTTTTTGTTCCTAATCACACAATTTCTTTTAATTACTTCCTCGTCCCCTCCTTTGTTTGTGCAAATTCATTTAAGATATGTTATTATTTTCAAATTTGGAAAAGTTGCATTATCAATCCATATATATAATGCTCAAATGTATCTATTTTTCAATATCCTGTATGATATGTAGATATAATCATCCTACCTCTGGTGTTCTGTTTATTTAAAAGATCCAGAATGCTTCCTCAAAGCATTCTCCAACCCTAAAAATAATGGCTGCAGATGTATGAAAAATGTTACTGAAACTGGTTTAGCTGAAGGACAAGAAAGAAAATGGTAATCAGTTTTCTGAGCATATATTCATCTGTATTTTTACGTTTGAAACTTATTGGAAAGAGTTTAAATTCCAAGCATTTACTATACTGATAGAAAGTTAAGTGTCTGAACAATTTTTTCATGCATATTTATCATCGAAGATTTTCTCTGAATATGCTGAATTAATATGATGTACACGTATGTTAACAGTACTTTTGTTTTTAGTACCAAATGCGCTGAAATCTACATACCAGCTTTGGCCGTCTTAGCTGTCATTTCTGCCGTTCTCTTAATTTTACTCGTCCTGCTTTGCATTGTGTATAAAAGATCAGAGAAGTTTCATCGGCAGCAATCTAAAAGTAATTGCCTGCTCCACTTTGTACACTTTAATTATACATATTGATTTGTATATGGTTCATTATGCATACAAAACAATTATGTTTAGGATGTTTTATATTTATATTTTTGTATGTGTGAATTATATACATCAAAACTGACATATATTTCGAAATATGTCTGGAGAAATGAAGAAAACAGAAGCTGTATTACCGTGGAAAAATATTACAACAAATATCAATTTATTATTGTTACTTTATGTCAGTATAAAAAAAACCCAGGAAAGTCGTTTTCTTTTCCCCAAAATATTTGATTGTACATGCTTAGCATATTTATCATTTATGATAAGGACAACTCAGTATCAGGAGATATTTCTTGTAGATATGCACAAAACAGACGTTGAAACACAACTAATGCATACATGTGCGTCCCATGCATTTAAAACTGGAGCCACAAACACATATTCTGAAGGTATGATTATATTTGTGTACAGGTAAACATAATGTTTAATTCAGTGATAAATATATTTGTAATATCTGTATAATTATCCTTTTGAAAGGATACCAAACATACCTAGATGGCCAACATTTAACAGAGAAAAGAGCTTACAATTGGCATAATCAGCGGATTCCGAAGGAAATGGAACAGTAAGTTGTCATTTCGTATCACTTTGACACTTAACAAAATGGAAAAAAAAGTTTAACATGTTCTAGCACAAGTTGTACCGTATTAAGGTATTCAATGTATAATGAAGGGATTTTCAACGATTTTATATAATTTTAAACTAGCTAAAACGCATTGCTAGATAATGATAAAAGTGAAATGAACCAAATTCATAAGACTGATAACATGTAAGGAGAGATTTATTTTGCACGTTAAAAGTCTTTGAAGATTTATCTGCCTTTGATGAAAAGAAGTAATTTTTTATTTTTCAAATTTCTGCGATAAATAATTTATTTCATTTCATAATTTAATAACAATATCCGATATAAATATGCGCTGTCCATAGACTTCAATGTACAATTCAAGGTGCAATTAATTGAACAATAATCAAAATTTGTAAATTCCTTTGATGGAACATTTTTCTTTGATATCATTTTTAAAATGCTGCCATGATTAAAAATAACTGATTATTAATTTGTTAGGTACAAATTATGGTTGTTATACATTGAATAAGAATAATTATAACCATTAACTTCAGGTTGGAAAAATTTGGAAATCCCGAGAAATCTGGAAGATTTACTGTACAGTTATATAGAGAACAATCTCAATCTGGTATGTAATGAAATCAGAAGAGAGTATTAAAGCTGAACATGACTCGCAAATAGGCAAACGTCATTTTCGACATTACTATCTAAGATATAGGTACCGGGGTATTCCCTTTGCATTTGTTACACCTGACTGCTATCCATGTGGAATGGCGACCCTTTGTATCTTGCATTAACTTTGTCTACATTATATTACATTATGACTGTAAATTTGTGTTTGTTTGTATACTGCAATGACCTGTGCAATCGTTGTAAGTCTCTTTGGCATCTTGCACTATACTACATAAGCAGACGTACCCAGTTAAATTATGTCGCTACAAGTGCTGTATAGCCTATTACTTTTTACCGTTGGAGACTGATTACACTGAACAGTGTCTTACAGTGCAGGGAACTAATTTTGTTACATAAAGCAGCATCAGGATCAGCATAAGTAGGATCAGGATAGAACTAGCATCAGCATCAGCATTTAAAAAAACAGCATTACTTGGATCAGCATCAGCAAGCAAAGGATAGAACTAGCATTGACCAAAGTGAAAACAGATAAAGGAAAGTCATTTAATACAAATTACAAATAAAAATTACCCCAAAAATTATTTTTAATGGCTTAAAATAGCGATGCTGTTTTTGAATTATCCACTTCCGGCAGGATAATCCTACTTCCGGTAGCATTACTAGCATTGACCTAGTTTCAAACCAGCACCAGGATAAGGATCAAACCAGGATCAGGATAAGGATAACTAGCATCAAAATCAGCAAGCAAAGGAAGCATCAAAATCAGCAAGCATAGGAAGCACCAAAATCAGCATTGATGCTGTAACAAAATCATTTCCCTGCACTGTAGTAATCATGACCTTTTCTATTATATATGTCAGACAATCGATTGATTGATTGATTGTATATTGTTTAACGTCCCTCTCCAGAATATTTCACTGATATGGAGACGTCACCATTGCCGGTGAAGGGCTGCAAATTTAGGCCTATGCTCGACACTTACGGCCTTTGAGCAGGGAGGGATCTTTATTGTGCCACACCTGCTGTGACACGGGGCCTCGGTTTATACGGTCTCATCCGAAGAACCGCCCCATTTAGTCGCCTTTTACGACAAGCAAGGGGGTACTGAGGACCATTTCTAACCCGGATCCCCACGGGGCTTCAGACAATCGAATATAGTGGACAAATATTTATTTTTAACAAATCATGCTCAGCTCTAAGTATCAATCAAAACAAATGGCATTTAATAAAAATGCAAGTTACAATATTTTCAATTAAAAGAAATTATATATTTTAAGATCTCAATGGTGTTGGAAAGAGGGATATATATATCCGAAGCAATTCGTCTGGTGTTGGAGGGGCATCTGTAAGTATATTTTCTGGACATACATCCAATGTAAAAATTAGGAATAGTGAAAAACAGAAAGAAATCTTCACTCTGAGAAACAAAGAATATGGCAAACCTATTGATTAAGTATTTCTACAACGAAGTTTATGCAATGGTCTCTTAATTATAAAAATATTTCAAAGGAGTTGATATGAAAAGCACAATTTTTTATTTAATTTGGTATTTCTATTTTCAGAGTCTTCAAGAAACATCATTCTAAGTTCATCCCGAAGAAATACAGAACATGTGCTTTTTTAACATATATATACTACATCATGTATGACTGTATATTGAGAAAATTGGTATATATCATATGACATATACCAGTATATATTGCATAAAAAATATAGAGAATTTTTGTATGAGAAGATAGCTGATCGGTTAAGGTCAAGATCTAGTAAATGACTTTAGAATGAATTTTCAGTGCTAAATCCATTATGACGTCATAATCACTTTCAACTTTGTTTTTCCCGTACTTTACGGCTCTACTAGAATTATGTAGAAAATAAAGTATTTTCATGGAATTCAATTTAAAATCACACGAAAAGTAGTCCCGATACCTATCTTAGATTTAATATTATTTTAAAGTAGAGACTAAAAACATGCAAATTACTGTTTTCTGAAAAACTGTAGGCAATCTGGATACATTTTATTTGTCTGATATGGGAAAAAACTCCCATTTTCAATACTTGTTTTCTTAATTTTTCATTGAAAATGACAGTTTAGAATAAGGTTTTTCATCTTGTTTTTCTACAAATTATGCCCCTAAACACATATTTTGACCAACCTTATGTTATAAAACATCATTAAAGGAATTAATTTCTTAAATTTCAAAAATCTGTAGGCACCTTCCATTTACTAGATCTTGACCTTAAAGATTTCAAGGGGCCGTGAAAAAAAATCCGCGCAATGAATTTTTCTCAATTTTAAATATAATTTGCCTTATGTCAATGATATTATTATATGAGAGTATCAACCATGGTCATCAGGGATATAAGGAAGTTATGGTTGCCATGGTAACCACCATTTTTTAATCCTGTAATATTTATGAGATATATTTTTGAATATGCCACACATGCATCAACATTTAAACAAACTCAATAATTTCCTCTTGATATTAAATGATACGCTTTATATTTTAATATTAAAAATAAAAATTGTATCGCAAACTATTGATAGATGTAGTAATGCCACCGTTTTTAGGGGGGTATTAACTGTAAATTTGAAGTAATATTTTCACCTCAAGGACAGTTTTCAACGTCTATAAAAAAATACCCAATGAATTTTCCGAAAACTAATATATGCTGTACTAAATATTATACGTACAGTTATAAATTTATAAGTAAGTTAATTAGATTAATTTTAAATCTACACGCATTTCAGTAACCCCCTCCCCCATTCCTAGAATATTAAAAGATTTCACAGATCTTCATATGATGGTTTGTTGTTGGACCTTATATATATGTTATCTGTTTAAAGCTATTAAAGCAATGTGTATAGAAAAATAAATACTTTTTCTTTGACAATCTTGCAGCTGTGATCATTTTATGTGTAAAGCAGAATGACTTACATATCAAGGGCAAAGGTCACGAAAATAACCTGTTGTTTTTTTTAAAAATAACCAAAAATCAGTTTCTCTTTCCCAAAACATTCATTTTGTTACTATAGCAGTAATAACACATAAATTCCAAACCACTGCACAGTCTTTTAAGGCCAAATTCCTCATGCTTTGAACACTCATGCAGCGAAGTTTCTTCTTAGTGACCTGAAATCAGATGGGGGGGGGGGGAGGGGTCAGACACATGAACACTTCATTTTCTCCTGAACATGTATGAGGGCTATCTCCATTGTGACGTCATGACGACACACTTGACGTCAAAACTATAGTACTGTTTTGTTTGAAAAATAATCTTTGAATGAAATAAATTTTGTGTCGCTTCATGAAATATGCCAGAGTGAAACATTTAGTATGTTCATGTTCTTGTGATTTTTAAATTTTTTTTTAGATATATTCCATTGAGCATGATAAGTTGAAACTTTGTTTTTCATGTATACGTAAACCATTTTACAACAATAAATGCTATATACAGGTATGCGACGAGATGATTTATTGTTTAAATTGTCGATGTCAGTGCTGAAAATGCTAAAGATCTTACAGGGAAAATAAATACCTTTGTAATATTTATAAAAAAAATATGTCCTTTAGGCATAACTAGTCTTCACCGTAACACGTAATACTATATCAAAATCGCTTTCGTTTATCAATATTTTATCATAGACTTTTAAATCACGCCGTCTGAATCTCTTTTTGGAAATTATCTATACATAGATGTAGATCCTATGGTAAAAACAATCTTAAAATTCTAAATTTTAAAATGAAAACAAGAGGAGATCAAGATATAAATTAAATTCATTTTTAATGAATTAGATTTCAATGTTCAGAGATACACGAGTCAAATCGTAAAACTTGCGCGTGGATGAAAAAAGAATATGGGCAGCGTTCGGTCAACCTTTAATATCTTATTCTTTCGTTGCTTTAGAAAAATAGGCCCCTTTTGTCAGGAGTGCAATCTTATCACGCTCTTTATACCGGAAATGGTTACAGCATATATTCTCTTTTTAATCAGCACATGGCCCGATCACGTGACGCCTTGCAATCGCGTCCTTAATTCAGTTATTTGAGAAAATTGGTACATGTATTTATGTCATATACCGGGATATAATATGTGAGAGATATTGTATGAGAAGATCGGTTCTCGGTTTAATTCAGCTACCGCTGCTAGCATTAAATCTCATCTATTGTTTAACTTGTGGAGGATGAGGGCAATTTTGAATCAGCGAGACTGGAAATACTCTTAGTACCCGGATATAAATCAATAGACAACATAATCAATAGAGAGGCAAAAGTCCGTGAACATAGGGACCTTTGCGGTAGTGGACATTTCACCATTGTTCCAATTTACAAACTGTTTACTGACAGCACAGTAGAAAGAAGACAAAAAGATTTTTTTCGGTAATCTTTAAAACAAACATTAAACAGTTTTGTCAATTCATTTTTTATCTATTCAATTTTCATATGATCTATAACTTGAGTGAAATGGACAGATAAGAACGATGAATGAATAATGACTATGATATACAATTCTGAACACTGGAAAAAGTTCACTATAAATACTGCTTAGAGAATGTAGGAAACATTATGCACGTTTGCAGATAAAATGGTTTATATATCATTTGGATCCACATCGATGTTTATCTAGACAATTACGATATAAGGATCTGTTGGATATCTGTAAACATTTATATTTGGCTCCAAGTATTGTCCCCCCACCTGCTGTTGTGAAAATGTGTTGTTGGCACAAGTTTTATTCATAATGTCACCTAATTCCGTAGCAGGTATTGCCCTTGCCTGATATACTGTGTCATCTATTTCCATTATTTCAGAGTATTCCTCTTTCTTATCATGCTTTTTGATATTTTTTATGTCAACATGAATTGATTCATTTTGACTTTCTCCGCTTGATCTAATCCTCTTGTAAACACACCTTCCCATGCACACAATTACAGCAAGTATAAATATTATGGACAATGTAAAGCTAACCACAACTATGGGACTACTAAACAAGTTGGAGCTGGGATTGTAAATGTTTGTTGCATTTTTATCCTTCGGTTTGTTCAAAAGGTTATTCCTCATTAAAAGTTTTGTTACATCTGGTATGTTGTAGTCCTTTGCCATCATTCCTACAACGAGAATCATATCAATGATGAAAGAAAATAGAGCAGTTGTGTACATGATTAAAATATCTCTAAGAACTGATATCTATCAATAAAATAAAGAAAATAGAGCAGTTGTGTACATGATTAAAATATCTCTAAGAACTTATATCTATCAATAAAATAAAGAAAATAGAGCAGTTGTGTAAATGATAAAAATATCTCCAAGAACTGAAATCTATCATTTCATATTTCATTTATAAATAACATATAGTGACAGCTATGACAGGGCATTTATGCCTACATTATTAGATAGTTATTCTTTTCTTATGATTTACACAATTTGAAAGATTAATATGCAATTTAACAGTTTAAGGTGAAACATTTTTTTGTTGAATATTTACTTTTTTTAATGTTTGCCTCAAAACATTTTATAAAAATGTTGTTTTAAAACATTTGTGGATTGATTATATTTAACAATCTGTAAGAAAAAAAACGTACAATAAATTTTTAAAAGCACATCATTCATTATGATCATATTTGTTACGCAGCTGTACAAGATTATTTAAACGCTAAAGATAGCATCACTTAAACTGAAACGATAAATAATTGCAAATTTCAACATTTCAGTACTAGTTAAACACATGCAATATATACTTTTTTTAAAATATCAAAAACGTACTTCCTGAAACAAGATTGATCTTTTCCGTACCATTAGGAAATCATTGTATTATTTTCATAAACTTTTCCCGGGAGTTAAAATTATTTATCCTCACACATCGGAAGGGATATAAAAAGAATGCGAGATCAAATAAATGTAAAACTAAGAAATAGAAACGTATAAGAAATAAATCTACCGGTACTCACTTTCAGTTGTTAATAGTTGACAGCCATGCACATGATGACATAAAAAATAAGGACAATCACATTTTCCCTGACAATCTTCTCCATAACTAGGAAATCGACATTTTGAAGTACAATTGAATCCAAAATACCCCAAGTGGCATCCTGTGAAGATAAAAATCTGATTTCATTTCATCTGATTGTTTTCTATATATCAAAGCCATTGCATGCAACCAAATAGTTTAAATATTGCACTTTTTAAATTAAGTAAGCGGATTCACTCAACATCATTTAGGCATTGTAATATTTCAATCACTGGTTGAACTCATTTTACCATTTTAAAGTACAATTGATTTAGATCTTGTATGCTATCATATCAGCTAGAACACAAACTAAAAATTACTCTGGCATAGTTTAGTATCGTCATTCCAAGAGTAACCTCGGCAACATTTTTGTCCAACAGGTATTCTAAAACACATTTAAATAAAAATAATAATATTTAACTATTAAGTTAGATTCACAATAAACAAAATTCCTTATGCTATATTTCCATTTGCAAAAAAATAATAAGAAGAAATAAAACATTTGTCTAATCAAAATCTATAAATTGCTGTCTAATATACTAGTATTGCAATAGAATGTGTAGATATTTTTCTTTCAACAAACTATCGCAAATTACAAGTGGTACACAAATACCGCGCCTTTTGTTTTTGACATTTGGTTGAAATGAATATGAAAATTTCGTTCTTTAGAAGAAAAGTAACAAAAAACTACCTTAAACAATTTTTCCCAATCGCCCAGGTTTCCCAAATCCATTTATTTGCAAAAAATGCAATAAAAACAAAGAGTTTGTCCTTCATCGTTGAAATTCAAAAATAATCTGAAATTGAATTACGTCATGCTAGAATAGATCTCGTTAACGACTAGTTCACTTTCCCCTATCATAAAAAATAATTCCACATGATTATTTCAATAAAATATTATTTCTTTTGCTTTTTATTAAAAGACTATCGTAAACTTTTGTTAAAGCTTATCAAAGAATAATAGAATATAATATTTCAATAAATATTGACATAATATCAGCGTCCTGCATTCTTTAGCAAAAATGATTTGAAGATCAACGGCACAAGGATACATAATCAAAAAAGTTTTTAAGAATACATACCACAACATTGCAAACTATCAATATGTGGAAAAAATGTTACACCATGTCATTTTTTTTCCTAGATTTCTGATGCCAGATGTAATTAAAAAATGACATCTGCATTTTTCTAGGAAAACAAAGGCCTTTAGTTTCCGCATTAGATTAATTTTATTTCAATAGTATGTTTTAGCAATACTTAATGATAGAGATTACACTACATGTAGTATATTAAAGCTTAAAACATTTCTGTGACGTCATCTTTTGTTAAACCTGGTTCAATAAATTTGCTTTTGTCCTGCGCCCCGTCCAATAAGTTACCTGTAAGTGTCCAATAAGATTCAACTTATTCGACAAGTACAGGTACCGTTAAAATGAGAACAAAGGGCGAGGCAAATAAGAAAACAGCACTAAAAAGGCAATGACAAACCAAACAATTTAATATGAACAATGTAGGAAATTAGTAGCGTTATATGTTAATATTTCACAAAAAATCCTATTGAACATGACACAAATAATCCAGTGAATTGAATGTCTCAGATTCATTATATAATTGTAGACGCATCCGTGGCTCCGATCATAAATTTCCGAAATTCACAGTTCATTGTTATATAGTAGATTCATTTCACAATGATTGATCCACGGAACATATAAAGAATCCAATGGACACAAAAGATGAATGAGAAGCATGTGTTTTCTTACACACAACCTTGGGCTTTTTTTTTATTTATTGAAATATCCATTTTGCCGCATTTAACACAAAATTTAGCTCACGAAATTCCAACGGAATCCGTAATTTCGTTCAGTGATTTATGACCATTTGTCCACCTAGTCCTGCGTTGTTTGAGAGAGTATCTGTCGTTGTTTTAAGGAGTGAGTGGAGTAAAATCCTTCTGAGTTCGAAACCTGCACACGAAAGAGAAAGTATTGCATTTTTAAAAAATACATCAGAAATAATCTCCCAATTTCATATAAAATGCTTAAACAGTTGTTTGAGTAAAATCCTTCAAATCCTAAAGCTTTACAAAAATTACCTGTCAACGGAAACTGTTTCTTGCAAATTCCGAAACATAAGAAT